CTAAAAAAGAAACGAGAAAACTATCTGGTGTTACTTTTGCTAGAGGAATAATCTTATTAAAACACTCCAATATCTTTCAAATCAAATAAAAATATCAAGCAATAAAATTACGATCTACAAAGTTTGGCAAAACTTTATTTAAAACTAATATAAAACAGATTTAAGTGCTTACCAAGGAAGAAATGATCAAATTCCCCGGGGTTAATTTTATGCCCGTATTAAAGTACTTCAATATCTTTAAAGTCTTCTCTTTTTTCCCAACGAAATTTGGCGAACAAATTCGATTGTCACCAAAAAACACAAGCTGAGCATACGGAAAGGAAACCCCAAAGTTCTATTTGCTTAAAGACTTTTGAAGCCAGTTGGGCGCGCGTTCATAACAGATGACCTCATAAGTTTGATTTCTAAGAGTTGTATTCCATTTTTTGTGCTTTCTTTATGGCAGGCACAAAGCCAAAAGGCAAACACACTCGACTCATAAAAAGATGCCTGCAGACAAACAAAGCGACACACAGTCAACACACGAGTGCTCACATTGGGCGCGGGGGGAGGAGAGGGGATAGAGGGGATAGCCACCCATAAAGATCAAATGTCAATACGGATGTGGGGGCCACGCTAAATGTGGCCAAAACGCAGCCAAAGGAACTGGCAAACAGTGCCAGCCAAAATATATATATACAAAAATGTCTAAACGTTGTCATAAAAATGAAATGAAAACAAGCAGAAGGCAGAAAAGATGTAAAAAACTTAAGACATTCAATAAGTTTACTTACAGGGCATAGAGCACAACGGTCATTTGCCGCGGAGCAGGTTGAGGGGTGTGGGGTACGGGGTGCTGACCTTTTTATCGCTCCAAATATGTTTATGACTAGATTTTTTATGTGGGGTGAGGAGGGACTTGGAAGTTTTCCTTTGACTGCCAGCAGCTTATAAATCTCTGAGGTTTTAGTGTGTGCCATGCACACGAAATTGTTTTTAACGACAATGTGTGTGTCCATGTAAATTATTAGTTTAATAAACGTTACGCACATAACAAATTATTGCTGAAAAGGTTTGGGGACCAAGGATTAGCCACAATAGCAGAGACAACGCTCTGTGAGTGTGTTGTGGCCAGGTTTTTAATCTCGAAGGTTCCAAGCTATTTTTCAAGTATACGAAAAACGTATTTTAAAATATTAAATATTATCAACATTTTAAAATATTAAATTATTTTTATAATTTTAAATACTGAGTTATCTAATTTTTTAAGGATTTTCAAAGATTATCCAAAATAGCAATCCTCTCTGCGTGTCTTGGAGTGGGCAGGTTTTTAATCTCTAAATTTCCAAGCTATTTTTAAAGTATGCGCAAAACGTATTTTCATTTGTTAAATATTATACACATTTTAAAATTTAAAATTATTTTTATAATTTTAAATATTGAGTTATCGAATTTTTTAAGGACTTTCAAAGATTAGCCATAATAGCAATGCTCTTTGAGGGTCTTGAAGTAGCCAGGTTTATAATCTCCATATTTCCAAGCTATTTTCAAAATTTGTGCGAAACGTTGTATTTTAAAATATTAAATATTATTAACATTTTAGAATATTAAATTATTTTTATAATTTTTAATATTAAGTTAATTCATTTTAAGGAATTTTCAAAGATTAGCCACAATAGCAATGCTCTTTGAACGTCTTGGAGTGGGCAGTTTATCAATCTCTAGATTTCCAAGATATTTTCATATATCATATACCGAAAACGTATTTTAAAATATTCAATATTATTATCATTTTAAAATATTTTAAAAATGATGCTATCTAATTTTAATTACAGCCAAAAGGAGATTCAGAATCATTTTAAGCCATATAGTTTGTATTATATAGTAACAAATATTGAAACTAATTAAAATTTAATTCCACTAACAAAGAAAGCAAACAACAACTTTATTTTATATTATGAACCATTCTGCAATTTTTAAGAATAAAATGTATTCATTTCGCTTTGGCTTCCCATTTGTCACTTTATGAAGGAAGATGGCAGAAAATATGTTGAAAATATTGACAAATAATTATTTTTGTTGTTTCATACCTTTTTTGGTGCTTCAGAGGAGACCTCTCCGAACCAATAAATTATATATATATATTCTTGATCAGCATCATTAGCGATGTCCGTCTGTTTGAACTATCCTATAGCTGTGTCGACTATAACAATCTAACTTGATATCTACTAGAAATAAGCGAACTTAGACCTGGCTGCTAAATCCACTAACTAAACAAATAATAAATATTTATTTTCAGCCATTTAAATATTTAAATATCTAATACTTATATAAACAGTTCCACACATATATATATAAATTTTATACATACATTTTTTCCTTTTAATTAAGTTTTAAATTTGACATAAAAGACATAAAGAAAAGCATCTTGAAACTTTCTTAACTTGTTACCACTTCCTTAATGTGTTTACAATCAAATGCAACCCTTTTGTTGTCAAGACGCATTTGGAAATTTATATTTCAATTAATATGAAATCAAGCATTAAAATTGAATTAGCAGCCGAAACTAAGCACAAATCCTGCTGGTTGGTTGGCTGGCGAGAAAACTTGGCAGCAACTGGAGCCAATTAGAAAATGACGACAAAGCCAAAGGACAATATGTTGCCGCAGTTTTGTGTGTGGCAAACGGGAACGTCTTGAGGAAGTAACTGCTAGCAAATATTGTTTAGTAATTTTGCCGCGCTAATTTCGTATGTTGGCCGCCGGGCAACAGACCTGGCAAAAGTTCAACTAACAAACAAAAGCGATAATTACAAGAAAACAGGCAGACCAAGGACTAGTCGGGGGACAGGAGGCAGGAGGCAGGAGGCAGGAGTGCTGTGGCAAGTAGTAAACTTTTGTTTGTCAGTCAGCGTATACGAATGCAAATAATTTCACAAAAATTAAAAGCAGACGACAGGCAAAAACTTTGCCAGAGTATGCAACATTTTTGAAATCTATCCAAAAACAGGGAGTCCTGTCAAGCAGCGAAAGGGTTCCATTTGCCGTTGTTGCTGTTGTTGTAGTTTATGTGGCTGTCTAACGGCATTTAACCTACGCTACTATAATTCACGCCATTTTCAGCGGCATTTAAATGCAGCGCGCGCTCGACTCGCATACTCCACGCATCCTGGGCAGCCTGGGCAGCGTGGGCATCCTGGGTTGCCGCGTCCTGGCCTCGGCTCCCCAACTGGGATAACGATAAGCCAAACATGATTTTACGACAATGTTATTACCAACAACAGCAGCAGCGCAAGCAGGTTGAACAGTTTGATGTTGGTTTGGTGGGTGGACGTATCCCTTGTATTGTGTGTTGTTGTGTTTGTTGAGACGTAAACGACATTTTGGGCAAGGAGGGGGTAAATCTGGGGTAGCCCTGCGGGTTATATGGCATGACGCCGACGTCGCCGTGATTGTTTAAAGTTATGAATAATTAAATATTTGAACAGGTTGCGAACTCTGAATGCTAAACGGGGCTCGGGTGTTCTCCATTAGTATAATGGCAGTGGGTTTAAAGATGTGTGCATGGATGTCTTTCAATATCTATAAGGACTTCAAGGCAGATCTTAATAGGCATTGATAGAGAGTGCAGTTTTAAGATAATAGCAGAATTTGCAGAATATTGAGAATCAAATGAACGTATTTTATTGCTTACTATCTTTAAAATTACAAGTTGTTTTGAGTTTAATAAAAATTAATAATCTTTATTTTAAAACTTTTTTGTTATCTTTGAAGATTAGGAAAAGGTTTTGAAGTATGAACAAGATAATGTCTTCTTTCAGATTAATCATTATTAGTATTATTATTATTATATATGGTTTATAAAAATCTTTATTTTTATACAAGCTCTGCTAGTCTTAAGAAAAAATACTATTTCTCTTAATCTGATATCCCACTCCCCATTATCCTTTGGTCTGATTCCAACACTCCTCTCAGCGAATTTTCCACCCCTGGGACTATTCATTCACTTAGTGGCCGGCCACAAAACGCTAATGCAAATAATTGCCGTCCATTTCGAGTGCATTCAACTGAAAATTATGTGCACAGCCGCAGTTAATTACACAAAAAAGGAAAATAATTAAACAAAAAAGTCAAACACCGACGGACTATTATTTTGCGGTTGGAGATGCGGGGCATTGATCCCCGTACCTCTCACATGCTAAGCGAGCGCTCTACCATCTGAGCTACATCCCCTCATGATCGTCGCCAGTCAAAACGCATGTCGTTCCGCAGTGGGGTCGAATGCAGTTTTCATTGGGAACGATCTGGAATGAAACAATCCACAAATCGACCCAGCAGCACCCTTAATACACAAAAGAAATTAATTTACGCATTTTGTTTTCTGTTCTGTTGCATTTTCGCTTTATTATTTATTCGCTTTTAAGAACTGTCAATATTTACACTTTGGCGCAGGTTTAGTCTGCCACAAAAAAAAAAAAAAAACAAAAGATATACAAAAATACACATTTGAAAAATTTTTCTTTTTATTGTATTGTTTGGTTTTCTTTGCATTGTTGTTTTGTGCTTCCATTGTGCTCAACGTCTTCAGCATTCGCTCCAGCCACCTGCCATCTGATGCATATAATTATGGAAATTTCAAAGTGCGTTACACCCACCCATCCAAAAATAAAATCAACAACAACAACTACAACGGTAGCAAATGGTACACAAATGAAAAATCAACGCCAGCAGCCGTAACGATTCTGCCAGTGTAAATAAAGGTTGCGACAAAACAAAACGATAAAACAAACGAAAATCTCAAGGGAAAAGAAATAAGCAAGCAGCATTTGCATAAACTCAAAAAAACATGCTACAATTTTGATTGCTCGCAGCCTGTATTTCAAATCTGTACTTTGGCGCGCTTATTTTCTACATGGGGTGGCAGCACTGACGCAGCGAAGCAACTCTGCGCACAGCTGTTCGAATGAGAACTCTCGCAGACATAACAAAAGTCAAAGTTTTATAGTGCATAGTTTTTAAGCGTTTACGCATATTTTTGCTACCAACCTAAACCCAAGTGATAACAACTCTATAAACGCAAACCGATTAGACATAATGCAAGTGCAACTGTTGCGTCTGTGATGCACTCATCGACGGTTTCAAAGAACTACAAGTACAAAAATGTCGCGCAACTTGGAATTAGTTGTCAGAATCAGTCAGGAAATGTGCCTTAATATTGATTTAAGTTGATATTTACGCATATGTAGTGTATATGTATATATATATTGTTAAGTTTTGACATGAAAGAACGTCGGGGAACGCTGCCATCGCCAACAGCTGCCGCTGCAGCATCGCCTGCAACAACAGACGCAAACACAGCGGCAACAACAACAACAACACTAACATCAACAATAACAACTGCCGGCACCGAGGCGTTTTCGGCTCCATGTTCGGCCCCCGATGATGCTCCTGCTATGTCTTTCGAACCCAAAAGATGCCATACAGGTGGTCAACATCAGCATCAGGAGCAACAACACCAACAACAACAACAACATCGTCATCATCATGCAAGCGGACCAAATCTAAGCACCTGGTAAGCTACCAGATATATACAAATTTACATACATATGTATATACATACACACTCATACAGCATAAATCGAAGAATTGAGTTTCATTCAGAATATTTACAGTATAATTTGCTATTTTTTTATTTAACACATTTTGTAATTAAAATAAAATTGCTAAAAGCTTAAGATTTTATTGTTTAACTTAAACCATAATTCAAAAATGTTATTTAAAGAAATAATATACATAATTAACACTTGCACGACCCTTATATAAAGTTGGGTATCTTAAATAGTATTTGAAGAAGTATTATTCTTAAACTGAGTACTCACAAACAATACAAATACTTGAAAAATATTTCAGTTCAGATTAATTAATTCAAATTAAAAAATACACAAACAAAAACAATTTAAACGAATAATAAGATACAGCAATTGCTGTTATTGTTGCCTATTGCCAAATACATGGTTAGAAAAGTAGTTTATTTTATTTATTTTTTGTGTCAACTTTTTTTGTTGTTTAATTTGAAGTGTTTGTCTCCCGATACATGAAATTCTATTAAAGACAATCGTGTTGACAGTGCTAAAAGAAATGTACCAAGGCTAACGGGACCTTGCTTACGCATTCTATAACGGTGCTTACACAGTTATGATGCATTGGAATGAAAGTTCCGTTAGTTTTTTCAAAGATTTTTGCATATTTGTGGTTTTTGAGCTAGTTTGGGTGTAAAATTCGATTAAAGGCAGTCACTTTCTAGCCTTCGGAAAGGAAGTAGGACGTTATATGGAATTTCTTTGTATGGGATAATAAAGAATACATATTTAATTATAATTTAATAGATTAATTGCATACAAAAATTTGGAATGGGAAAGAAATAACACTCTATACTGATTGATAAGATGTTCAAATTAAAAGAAGACTACAACAACAACATCGTTAAAAAACCAACATCCTAAAATTATTACACAGCCAAACATCTGCAATCTTATGTGATTTGTTGAACAAATTTTGTCAGGTTGTAATCGACTGGTTTGGAAGAAAATTAGGTCGAAGCCAGTATTAACGAAGGCACACCACATAGCCAGATTAAATGTTGCAAAAGAACACATGTCCTGGACCCAGGAGTGGCCAAATGTGTTATTTTCTGCTGAGATAAAATTTTATTTCGATATTCCAAATGATTTAAATTAGTACTTGTACAATTTAAAGAAGTCTGAGGGATTTTTCACTACTCGAAGCTCTGGCGGTGTTTCACTCATTATCTGGGCTGCATTCAGTCATCACAATAGTTCCCTGATTTGTAAAATTGCAGGCTATATGAGCTCGGAGTGTTATATAAACCTGTTGCACGAAGTTTTGGTGAACTTTATGGTGATTCAACCAGACCCAAATGCCTTATTCCAATAGGATAATGCTCCAATACATGTGCCGCGAACCTGTCATGGGCGGTTTCGGGTTAAAGATTGTAAACTTTTAAAGTGAATAGCAAGATCACCCGACCTAAACCCCATAAAGAACATGCGGGGACACCTGTTCCGTCGAGTTTAAGTGGGTACTCCACAGTTTCAGACAGTTGAGCAGGCTTTCGTTAAGGAATGGTCCGAAATCTCACTACCTGGGTTCAAAAAAGTTGTTTAATCGATGTAAAATCGAATTTTTTAGTTATAAATAAATCTGGAGGCTGGGCACATTGTTAATTTAATATATTCATGTCATTTCCCCATATTATATTAATTTTATTAGCACCGCCTTTAATTGAATTTCAAACGTTACCCTCACTTAAAAAAATAATAATAAAAAATGTTATATTTATATTACAAATTTAACTCCTTTTTTATTTGACGTGTATTTAAAACAGTTACTTTTATGAATCAACAAAAAATGTACAACATTTTAAATGTTATAAGGAAAAAATCCAGTAGCTTTAATCGAATTTCGCTGAGTGTATACTAAAATATTTGCAGATCGTATAGTTTTCAGTTTCACATGCACTTAGCTTGACTAACACTTATTAATTGTAGAATTATATAAAAATAAAAAAAATTGTAATGCTTATTGTGTTTATTTTTGTTTTCCCATAATGTCCAACCGAGTTTTAAACTATGCTGTTTTCGTTAGTTTATCAAAAAAATCGTAGAATACCACCAAAAATATTAAAATATAAAGATAGTTGTTGTTTCAACAGTAAGTAAAAACACTAATAATAGCTATTTATCAATTTATTCATATTGAATTGCATTATAATTGGTACAAACTAATTATTATTTTCGAATATTTTTAAGATTTCTTTTTGTCAACTCTTAAGTGTAAAATTAAATGAATTATTATATTATTATTATTATTTTTTTGTTAGCTGTTTCTAAGTTATGCCAATTTTTTTGTGTACAGCTAAGCAAATTGCACATAATATTACATAAAATTCAACTTTTTACGCACATACATATAAAAAACATATACACAACAGGAGGAGCATGCTATGAGGACGTCGTCTATATGTACATTAGATACCCTGTCCAAAGCTAAATTTCACAAACTGCCAACGTTCGCAGAAAATGTTATGATAATGAGGCAGGCTATCAAGCACAGTGCTGCTTTTGGCCTCACGTGCTTTGCTAATTTTATGGGCCGGGGCAGGTCGTGGCATCTCATCAGCCTTGCCGCCTGTCGCATAAGCATAATGTGTTGTGTATGCCACTTTATGCGATATAACACACGAGTCGTGCTAAAATAGCTTGCCTTAACGCATTTCTTTCTTTTTTTTTACTTTGTCCTGTTTTGCATACACTCGAGCATCTTGTTGAGCTTTGGCTGCTGAATGAGCTATTTGATGTGGATATTGCAGCATTGTTGAGTCTGCTGCACAAACCATGTCTCAAATTTGGGTTTAGTTTTCTTATAAGCAAGGTATTACTATGCAGAAAGTGTAAGATCTTCTTGAACCCATTGACGAAGGTCAATGTCAATAAAGAGGTATATTGAAGTTGTGTCTGTCGATCTTGGCATGATAGAGACTTAAAATCTATAAACGGCAAGGTTTTTATGTATTTAATAGCTGAATTCTCCAAGTCGAGATGTCTCGATTAGAGCATTCAAACTTTTTCTATTTTGAAAGTGGCTGTTCAGGGATCATTTGATTTTAATTCGCGAAATAATAATTTCTCAAGCAATTTATTAAAATGTAATTTATTCCATTATAATAATTATATAATTATATTTACATCACTAACAATAGAATAGAAAACATTGACTCAGATTACAGATTTTTGAATACATTGACAACTCTGCTTTCTTTTCCAAGCAACAACTAAAATGTTTATAAACTATCTTCACTTGCTGCTTCATTCATTTCAAAACCCCATTTGCCATTTGCCATTTCTAAACAAACTTTGGCTCATTCTCACCCAATGACTCTAAAAACACACATGAAATATTCTGAAATTATTAGGTTTTATGACAACCCCAAAGCTCCCTCTCCAGTCTGGTTTCCCACACATTTTTCCTATGTACTGCGGCAGCTGTTGAGGAAAAAAAAATAAAACAAAATATCGAAAATACTCATAATAAATATAAAATGGCAAAAACGTGTCGATATCGCATAACAACTTGAAAATGATTTGTTTCACAGTCTGCAGCGCATATTAACTTCGATTTTCAATTCGGGGCAGCAGCAGCAGCTCAGCAACTCATGTGCCACATGTAGCAAGGAGCTACCCCAGCTGCTTGGCCAATTTTTTTTGTGCTTGCCAGTTAGGCAGCGCCAAATTCCATTAGGCCGCAAATGTTGCCAAAAACAACAGAAGGCGACTCATCGACAACTTTTGTTGTTGTTGTCGTTTGTTTGTTTGTTGGTTTGCTGCAAGCTTGTCTCAATGACGTTGTCCTTGGCCATGGCCTGCAGCTCCGACAGCTCCATCTTGCTAACCAAACATGCTAAGACAAAGCCACAAAGAGAAAAAACTCTAATTGATAGCCTGAATGGACACAAAGTCTGCTGCTGCTTTTGCATCTTGACCATATCCGTTGTCCGTTACGGATATGCATGTCTACTCAATTTTTTCGACAAATTAGTGAACATCTTCCTCACCTCACTGCAAGCTATACAAAATTGATTGGAATTTACAACATGCCACGACAGGTATTTTTTTCTTTTTAACTCGTAACTCGTCAACACTTTGGCATTGAGCTTGTTTGTGGCTTTTATTGTTGCTGCTACTGTTGCTACTGTTGCTGCTATTTGCCCCCTGGCCTGCCACATTGTACTAGTCATAAATGTCTAACGTTGCTCTTTACTTTGTCGAGAATCTCTGAATATTCTCATTGCGTTTGTCAGCCACAAAAAAGGAAAGTAAAAGCAGTTTGATACTAGCTTGGAAGATTCCAAAGTTTTTTTTTATAAATCTCTTTTTTAATGTAAATTTTCAAGATTACTTTTCTTATTAAGTGGAATTTCAAAGAACATGGTTTTAAGAAAATTATTCTATAATGTAAAAGGGAAGAAAGTAAAACATATTTGTATCAAAATTAAGATCAAGAACTTTAACTCATTTAATATATAAAACTCTTGAGGCATCAGCTGTTGAGTCTTTGGGCGGAATTCTCAGGAATTAAGTCCAAGAAAATAATTTCTGCCATCAAATAAAAAGACCAAATTTGTAATGCGGCAAGGAACATTTGAATTGGTTATGGACCAAATGGAGGAGTGCTTTCTGGTAGTACGTATCCAAATTTCTTTTGACTTAATAAAATCTAAATAAACATGCAATAATTATTCTAAGATAATTTGGCCAACTTTCTATTAGTATATTCATTTTTAAATTTCCTGCAACGAGGCTAACTTTTAAATAATTTCAAAATAAAACTATTAAATCGTTAAAATCAAATTTTTAAAATGTTGTTATTTACAGCCAGTTTAAGGAGCGTTTAAAATTACCATTTAGTAAGAGTAAACCAATTTCATCGAATTGTATTCTTGTTACTTTCAAAATTCCTCTATAAGCCGCCTGGTAATTGCTATTTGCCATTGCCTTTTTCAACCAACAAAAAAAAAGGAAGGAAAAACAAAAAATATGCTGACCATAGGTATTAACGTAATTAATTTTGAACCGCGTCACATGTTTTGTGGACAGGTAAAAAAAAAACAACATGCGAACAGAAATTAATTATAAAGAAATCTTTTCATGTCAGCAACGGAATTTTCGACACTTTTGCGCATTTTTTAGCTGACCGTCGAAAACTTTTTTTAACTCAATTTCACAGCAATTTCTGGAGAACACATCCACCCACGCACGTCACCCCCTCGGCCATTGTTTAGGGTCACTCAAAAGCACATTTCGCATATTATTAGCTCATTTATTACCACCAAGTGCTGACCCTGGCAGCACCTGGACCAGATCCCTCAGCAACCCCTAAGAATAAAGTTTTTTTGAAAAATGCTGTCCCGTCCAAAGCAATAAAAAAAAGAACAACAGCAAAAAATCGGTGGGTCGCGGCCGTCTTGAAATTAACACATAAATTTTAAGTGGGTGGCGTCAGCAGGGGGGAAATGCTCCTGCGGCTATCCGTAAGATACTTTTCGGCTCACGCTCGGCTGACTCCGGCTACGGGACTGGCCATTGTCATTGAAATTTCCGTGCGAGTGCGCTCAGTCTGTCCGTTTGTCCGCCTGTCAGCTCACCTAGCCAATAACTTTTTGGCCAATTGAGGTTAAAACTACGTGACGCGCCCGGAAAAGTATCTACCAGACTGCCATTGACAGCACTGAGCTTTGACTGACTCCGACTTCGAGTCTGACTCCCTGTTTATTGTGTGCAAATTAGCCCCACAGACTATCACTTGACTTGGGCACATTTACAAGCTATACGCAATTCTAATTATGGCCCACCAAATTTAAAAGAATAAAACTTCATTATCAACTAAATGCAGGCCTAAGCCTAAAAATCATCCTCATATCACTTACTCGTTCTTAACAATGGCATCCAAGATGTCGCCAGGGACAAAAAGAAAAACAGAAATAAGAATGAGCTAGTCGAGAGAGCTCGATTCGGAGATGCCCTGCACCAAAGTGTTACGAGTTTTGAATACTGTTAGTGAAAGGCGAGCGAGGTTTAAAGGATTGTTTTTGTTTTATATATTTAAATCGTCGCTTGGAAAAGATAGCAGCCTTATCAATGCCTTCTAAACCTAAATATATTTTTACTTGAACATTCTTATCACTATCATATTAATATATGATTTTAGAAATTATTTTGTGCATTTTAAAATCAAGTAATCATTAAACAGCTACTTTTAATATTTTTACAGTTGATCAATAATATGACTGGATATAATATATGTTCATTGAAAGTATATAGCCTTACAATTGCATCTTTTATTGTTGTCGCAAATCGATTTAAATCGATATTCGACACAGGGACCGATAACATGAAAATAACTTGATCTGTGTGTGGTGTACGAGAATCTTCAGAGTATAAGCCGATCTCACAGGCTATAAGAGCTGGCAGCATCAAATCGATAATCGATATCGATTAAATGAAATAAACTATATATTCAATGCATTACAAACTGCACTACAAAATGATAATACCCTTCGTCAGCGTATATACAAATAAAAGGTCGCTGCAATGCGGAAATAAATAAACGTCGCGAATCTCAGACAGCATTTTGAATAACAAAATTAACAGCAGCAGCCCCAAACCAAACTCGAACTCGAACTCTATTTGTAAGATTTGCTCTGTTTAGTTATGCATTTTTCTCTTGTTTTCCCTCCTCTTTTCTTCATTTTCATTTTTATTTTAATTTTTTTGTATATTTATTTTTCTCACAGGCGCCAGTTGAAGTCAACGAAATATGAAGCTCGGGCCTGGCAAAACGGACGCAGGCAAGTTTTCCTGTGCTTTATTTTATTTTTATTTTTTGACCCCTCCCTCCCTGTACCTGCCCCACAGCTTTGTTTGTCTGCCGCACTGTTTGTTTGCCTTGTGTGTGTGTGTGTGTGTGTGTGTGTATCTTTTTCTTTCGCTTTCTTTTGCTTTAACGCACGCTTGCACCTTTCGGGGATGTGTGTGGGTGTTTTGGGTGGGGCGACTGTTTGGGTTAGATTGCCCCAGGGAAGGCAACCACATTATTAACACTTGACTAAATATGCATTTCTTGTGACAGCAAGAAGCGTTAACAAGGTTGGCGTTAAGGGTTTCCAAACAAAGTTGCGGCCAGCTATCAAGTGGCTGAAAAATGTACTCTATGAAAGATGTGGCAATTGAGGGGTGCTGGGCCGAATGCCAGGTATATTCTTACAAAGTCGACGAGTGTCTTAAAACTTAACACTTATCTGGGGAATTTATGAAAAATAAGATAAGATATTTGTACGAAAGCTATGACACAAGCTGTGTTGTAGAAATAGCAATATAAAGTGTATAATCTTATCAAACAGAATTATAAAATTTAATTTAATTTGAGGAAATTTCATCACGTCATATTCATTATTAAATGCAAAATTTTAAAACGATAATCCAAAAAAAAAAAACAATGTTTAAAGTATATCGATGATCCTAATATAAAATGTTCCCAATATAAAATAATAATAACAAAAATTAAAGTTTTGCTTAGCTGAATTATTCAAAAATAAAATTATCAAACAGCACCAAAATATTTATTGTGCTCAAAGACCAGCAAGTTGTTCCTAATATATATTATTATATTAAAAAATAGTTTTCTTTTGCTAAATTAGGCAAAGAAATTAAAAGAAAATAAAAACACCAAAATATTGAAGATATTATATGAAAAAATTTAAAAATTTAAATTCGATGATCTAAAATAACAATAATAATATATAATATCAAATATATTTATGTTGAATATATATATATATAACCCCAAAAAAGTGAATTATGATAAATTTACCTGCGACGGAAATTAACTGGTTTTAAATGATACTTTGTATAAGAAGATAAAATCTTGTATTAATAAAAACAATCACATAAAATGTGCCAAAAAGTAGATCACATATCACATGCCACATGCAACATGCAGTTCAGAGTAAAGCAAGAATACGAATGCAACTTGAATTGTTTTGCGGACGCAGTCCCAACGTGTAACATCAATGTTACCCACCACCCGCCCGACCGGCGCGAGGGGCGACTGCCGCATGACGCACGGCACGAAGATCGCGTTACGGCAAAGGTCCGGACCCTGGCCCCAATCGTGGTTTGATTTTTTATTGCTAGCCGTCGCGTACGCGTTCTCATTCAACGTCGGACACCCATTTCGATTAAGCACGGATAATTTTGTTGGCTGGATTTGGCGATCGGGCAAAACAGAACACATGCCCCGGATAGAACAGACGTGGCCAATGTTTAGCACTCGTTGGGAGAACAATTATATATAAAATCGAAATCGAACGAAACGTTTGAAAACTAATCATTATATTCGGAGTGCTTGGTTAGGATTCGACACAGTACATGTGTGCATTAATTAGATGGATGCTTTATCTTAAAACTATTACCATTGTTAGACGCCTACCTATATGCATTGCTGTTTATTCGGCTACCATTAAGTATGATCAGCTTGTGGTTACATATCTTAGCTACTTTGGCTACATATTGGCCCTACTATTAGTATTATTATTAATATTAGTATTGGTTACATATATATTGTGGATATTGGTTTTTGATGGTTGCATTTGCGTTCAGTTTTTACTCTTCGACTTCGACTTTGACTCTTTCTTTTTTTCGTTTATTATTCCGTACTTCTTTTTCTTCTTCATCTTCGTGGTCGATTATTACGTAGTTCTACTTACAGTTGGCTCGCTCTGTGCGAACAAACGTTGAAAACACACAAATTGGTTTTGGCCTTGAGCCCGATGCTTATTTTAAGCAGTTGGCGCCTTAACAAAAGCAATCGCAGTTGATATTAATCTGTAAAATAGTAATTAAAACTAAAAAGTTATATTTGAAGTGTAGAAAAGTCAGCGAGTCAAAGTTACTAACCTAATTCATTATTAACTAGCAGTAATTAATGGGTTACAAATGATATACTCAATTTTCTATGTATTGTTTTCTATCAATATCAATAAATATTCCATAACGAGTAGCTAAAATCGACTTATTAAATGTCGTTTAATATGTTAGTCCAAATATATTGACACAGCTATATTGCTCAATTCAAGTTTAGCATTTTTATTCTATTTAAAACAGAAATATAAAAATGATAAAAATTAATAATAGTAAATAAAATTTAAAATTTTAATTTTAATTTAAAAAATAATATAAATATTTGAGATTTCTGGAGTTGTGCAAATTCAAAACATTTGTTGCATGGATTGTGGAAAGCCAAAAAAAAAAAAAAACACCATCACACTAAAAATATAAAATAGTTTGTAAACACAAATTGTATTTTATATTAAAAGTGATTACAGGTGTAACTGCATATATATTTGCTGATCTCAAAAATGTATGCTACAAAAAAATAAAAGACTTGAATATTGAGCTAATTCAAAACCTGCCAAAGCCAAACTAAACTGCAATAAATACAACAACAAAAATATATATATATATCTATATATATATATGTATATATATGTATGTATGTGCACATATGTTATCACTATATATATATCGAAGCACTTATTCACACACTATCTCAATACGCACCTCGGTAAGCCAGTGGCTATCGCAGGGATCCAAGAGTTTTACCGTTTATTGGCAAAGAACTCGAAATATTTCCTCCAGGGCGCAAATGATACAATAACTGATATATTCGTTGGTTTGTTTGTTTCTTGTTTTGTTTTTTTTTATGTTGGTTTTTTACCAACGCTGAGAAATAGACAATCTCAAACGAAGTCCAAAGGCTGGTAGTTGAAATTCAACTGAGCTCAAGCACATAGACTAACTGACTTTTATAGGCAGGACAATCAAATGCCATGCGCCGAATTTGGCTCACACTACATATTATGTACTGGGGGTCCTAGTAAACGGGAGTTGCGTTGCCCACGCCATGGTCAGGTTCCAGTTTGTGCAGTTGCCCCCGACTCCTCCATTCGTCCGTGTCTTGCTTATTGTATTGTTGTATGTAGTTTACAAACAATAATGCCAACACTCACACCCAGGCCCCAGCCTAGAAGCATGCAACAGCCAACCAGACTGCGCTTGCAGTTTCCTGCCTTCCTCACTCTCGCTCTCTAGCTCTCTCTTTCTCTCCCTCTATCGCTCTCTCTGTTTTTTTGGGAGCATTAATTGCACATTGCAGTTGTTGCTATTGTTGCTGCTGTTGGTGTTTATGTTGTTTTGCTTGTATTTTATTATATTCCCAACAGGTTTTTTTGCTCTATTTTTCATGCGCACTCTCTCACTCTCTAGCGCCACTCTTTCTCTCTGTCTCTCTATTGATGTCGTGTGCAGTCGTGCCGAGTACTTCGTGTGCTTCGTGGAAACACGAAAAGCACGCTGACTGCGCTACTCCTTTGCCTTTGCTGTCCCGTCAGTCTCGCTCGGTCTTTTCAGCTCGCTCGTTCGTCGTGTGCGCTGCCGGCAGCAGGTGGCGTGGGCGGATGGGCTACCCTCCTCCCATCCATCCCCCGCCCCCACTGCATACAACCGTTGCATCTTATTTAGTTACACTTTGTTGCTGCTGCTACTGTTGTTGTTGTATTTTGCATTGTTTTGTGCTGTGTTTTGTTTTGCTGCTTGCTGCTGCTGCTGCTGCTGTGCAGCGGCCGCCTTTCGGGCCGTGACTTCGTGTTATGTACAAACCGTTATGATCCTCGGCTCTCGTCTCTCGTTCGTTGTATATGACTTGGTTGTGTGTACGTAATTGTTGTTGTTGTTGTTATTGTGTTGTGTGTTATTGCACTTGTTGTTGTTGCCTTTGCATTCCCATATACCACAACTGTTGTTGCTATTGCTATTGCTATTGCTGTTTTGCTCTCTAAAATTCTCCAACTGCTGGAGCGTTCCCGTCGGTTAACGGCATTTGGCGACACGACAGCCACACAGAAAGTTCTCGGGCCCAACCAGTTGTGTTGTGTGTTGTGTTGTGTTGTGTGTATTGCGTGTTGTTGTCCCGGTCATCATCAACAGCGGTTGAACCGCTTTTTCGCATTAAGAACGCGCAATTGCAACGAACGAGCAACATTCAACTCATTTCGATAGGTCAATAAATTGAAGTGGCAAAATACCATTTTACAAAAATTATATAAAAAAAGCACAGATATCATACAAATAATATATGTACTAAATATTTCAACAATATTCTGAATATATATCGCAATAATAAATAAAAAAAAGTTAATATAATATATCCTATTAGAACAATAATACAAATAATAACACGGTTCACACTAACTTTTTATTCATATTTGTAACCAAATAATTTGTACACAAAAATAAATAAATCGAAAAAAAAACTCAATCGAAATTCCACGCACAAAGTTCCGCTTCTGTTTCCGCTCTGTCAACCGCATAACTGTCAAACGCACAAAGACAAAACAAAAAATGAAAAACCACTGAATTTCGTAGCCCAACACGCAGGCTGATTTATATTTGACACTCAAACACACACACTTACACACCCTGTCAGGCAATTCATAAACAATTAAGTGGCGGAACGTGAGGTGTGTGTGGAATGCGTGTGAAATGTGTGTGAAATGTGCTTTTGGACATGGTCAATGGCGTGTGTGTGAGCATCTGACACCAACTGAATTGTTGTGATTGTGATTGAGTTAACTTCATGCAATCGAATTGTTTGATTTATCAACAGACTGATTTAGTTTCGGTAATTAACTCTCGGCTCATTTAGTGTTTAACAAATAAATGGCAACGAAGTTGCTAATTAAGACGAGCTGCAAGCTGTGATTATTTTTATTGCATTTGTTTTTGAATGCCT